CGGCTGGTCACGTGTCACCCAGATTCTGGGTGATAAATTAAAATGATACTATGGGCAGGGTGGGAGAGGAGCGTGTTTGTCGCGTTTGTAACAATATTTGCAATTTTGTGTGATGAAATTTAAATTTGCAAGAAGAAACTGCAATTAAAAATTAATATTTATCGTGATGTGACTTTCTGCTCTATAATCTAGTGTCGAGTTACAATTCAAGCAAGTTGGATCAGATTTCAACTTATAGACTTGCCAAAGAAAGCACGCCTGGGCGGCGTGGCAATAAGCCTACAAGAAAATTCATATCTCTAGGCCGACCAATGTGGTTTATATTTATTTAATTGTTAGTATTAAAGTATATCCTGATACTCGGACCAAAATAATTTATTTATTGATGAGATGTAGAATTGGAACGAAATAGCGAGATGTTTTGATTTCCGAAACTGATACGCCCGAGGTATCGCCAAGACGCCAACTGTATCGAGATTGTTGATTATAAAGGCCTTATCAAAAAACTTAAATCCCGTCAAAAGATTAAGACTATAAAATTTCCTGCAAGATCTCAACGATCATGGTATATGTCCAAGTTTAGCTGTCTGTTGAAAATCTACAGTATCAGGCAGTAAAGTCATACATCAAAGATAATTAAGTCAAACGACAATATATTTATGTCTTTCAATTAGCACTCTTTAGTACTGTCTGTGTTTATATCACATTTATTTCGTTTTGACACAAGCTTTAATTTTCTGCTTTATATATATTCTTAATAATACAACTGAGATTTAAATTTTTTACTTTGTGAAATAGAATACCGTTATTTTTTAATGGACAGCTTGCATCGTCTCTATATCATATCCAGGATTGCTTGTGTGTAAATAGCCTACATGTATCACTATATATGCCACTATCAAATAAATATAGAAATCTAAATGAACTTATTGAACTAGAAATAAACAGATGATTGAGACACAATGAAAACTGCTTATAGTAGCCTTAGTAGAAGTAGAAAACTCGAAAATTGATGTGTATTCGACTATTCGTATGGCAGTCTGTGCTCGTCTGACACTGTAAATTTGTGATGTAGATTATAGCCTAGTTGTGTCAGTAGGAAAACGTTATCTGACCGAGAAAAAGGCTAAAGCCTTACTATAATTAATGAATACGACTTATGTACTAAATCCAAAATTTTAAAGATAAATCACTGACAGACATTTCTCTGTTTGGCTAGTATCAAATTTTACATTTGCTGATATTGGGCTCTACTCTCTAGTCCTAGACAATACAATACTGGCAATACAATACAATACAATACAATACAATACAATACAATACAATACAATACAATACAATACAATACAATACAATACAATACAATACAATACAATACAATACAATACTGTTTCTTTTAAAAATCTTATAAACAAGACGTGCAAAGCATAGCAACGTTTACAAGAATGGACAAATCTAATGCTTGTTTTAAAAACATTACATATGTAGAAATGGTGACCACTGAAAAGCCCATAAACGTTTGTTATAAAACCGCGCTCGAGTGTGAAGAGAGCATTGAATAATAATAACACGAGAGAGCACTGCGAGTAACGATTTGCTTGGTTTCTTGACTTGACTGTTGGTAAAAATATAAGAATGTTCTTGTAAATTCAAAGCAAATAAAATAAACAAAAATTAGCAAGTTACTGATAATAGTTCGCAAAATTTATGTTTTTAACTGTTTGTAATTTGATACTTTCACCACAACCTTCTCGGACAATCAATTTTGGACGAGGCACGTGACCAGCCGATACCAGGGTCTTTCCTAAAGACCCTGGGAGCGAGGTTGGTCTTGTGCATGTAAAACCTTCCATGACCTTTGCTATGGTACATGTCAACGAAATAGGTCGGAGGTCATTTTCTATGGTTCTAGGGGGGTTGATCTTCGGTACTGGAATAACAATTGATGATTTGAGGAGTTCAGGAATATATCTCTCTTTCATTGATTGGTTATAAATATCTTTGATGATAGGTGCCAACTCATGCGCGAATTCCTTCAGGACTCTATTCGGGATGTAATCAGGACCGACTGATTTATTTACTTGGAGCAATGATAAATAAATGCTTTGTAGACCTCGTTTTCAGTTACAAAGAAATCCTGTGGAACTTCATGGGATACAATGCGTTGAGTTAAGGGCTCAAAATTATCAGTAAGGCCAGTAAAGAAGTTGTTAATCCTATTAGCTAGTAACTTAGTGTCAGAGCTATTTTCTAGAAACTGATGGTGCCATTCCGGTTTTGAACTTTGCCCAGAGAGTTTTTTAATTTCTCTCCACCATTTTGTGGAATTAACTCTTTGTACATCAGTAACTTTAACGGTATAATATTGGTATTTTGCTGCACGAATGGAACGTTGGACTTTGTTTCTCCAATATCGGTATGCTGTTGACATTTTCCCTTGCTGGATAAAAGCTGATTGGCGTTTTTAATCCCTTTTTTGTCTTAGTAGTGATCCATGGTCGATCTGTTGGGTGCTTTTTAACCTCTTTTTGTGGAAGGAATCTATCAATAGCCTGGTTAAGATCTGAGTTAAAAAGATCAAATTTATCTTTACACATATTAGCTTTGAGGACAGAGAACCAATCTTTTTTAGTAATCCATCGACCTAGCGCACACCATGCACGCACTATCCCTCATATCGCGTATTTTAGATTTACTTATTAGTTTAGTTTCACCTCCAAGTATAGGCTTTGCCAGAATTGAATAATGGTCAGATGATGCAATCTTAGCTGATTGGCATTTTTTAATCCCTTTTTTATCTTAGTAGTGATCCATGGTCGATCTGTTGGGTGCTTTTTAACCTCTTTTTGTGGAAGGAATCTATCAATAGCCTGGTTAAGATCTGAGTTAAAAAGATCAAATTTATCTTTACACATATTAGCTTCGAGGACAGAGGACCAATCTTTTTCAGTAATCCATCGACCTAGCACACACCACACACTATCCCTCATATCGCGTATTTTAGATTTACTTATTAGTTTAGTTTCACCTCCAAGTATGGGCTTTGCCAGAATTGAATAATGGCCAGATGATGCAATCCTAGGTAGCTGGGTTAGAGAGAACAGTTTAGGTCTGTTCGTAAACAGCCAGTCTAAAATACCAGAATCTCTTGTTTTAAAGGTAACCAACTGTTTAAGGCTATTCACTTGTGTTATATATTTTTGATTAAAACTAGTCGATGTTGGATTAAAATCGCCTGTTAGAATAATTAATGCATTTGGCTGTTTAAGTAACGCAGCATCAAGATATTTTTGAACATGATCACGTAAAATAATGTTCTCAGGTTTCCAATTACTCGTCGAATGATAGACCACGCCTACTACGATTGATGTAACTTCTCTTGGTAAACTATGTGGTCTCGTTGATATCCATATTGATTCGAGCTCCGTTTGATCACTGAATTCCAAAAGTTTGCATGGTACATTTTGGTCTACGCACACACACACCACCACCACCACCAGACGTTTCAATTCGGTCCCTGCGGAATAAATTATAACCAGGAATAGAAATGGATGAGTCAGGAATTTCTGGCGATAACCAAGTTTCGGTTATACAAATAGCACCAACAGAATTCAGCAGAGCTATTTGTTCAATCTCATCTACTTTCTTTGGCAGCGACCTCACATTTGCAAATTGAATGGTGGGAATATCATACCTTTTGGGGATTTTTATCTTTTTCAGATTTTTCAGAGCATGATAGTTGACTGCTCTACCTGGATTCTGATACGGGCGTCTCTTACGTCTAGTAATTCTTGTGGAGATTTCATGTGTGGGATTTTCTATTACATGGGGCTCTGATTGATAAAGTGAACTACATGTTATTGTGAGACAGTTATTCGACGTATCAGATCTAGATGTTCGATCCAGTCTGGGTCCTTTCTTTGTATACGATACCGGAACCATGGGACTTTGATGTTTTGGCCTGTTTTGGTAGAGGTTTGGTATACGTAATAGTAATTCTCTCGGTCTCGTTCTTGGGATAGTCGGGCACGAGAATGTTTTCGGGGGCGCTTTCGAAAATAATTCCTTCGTATTTGTCCATTTTGTTGTTCCGATCTCTGTAAGTTTACTTTGAGAGATGGAGAGGTCGGGTTAAATCGTTTATTATCAAGAAGTGGTAAATTGTGGTCGGTAATATTTGTCGATTTCTTTGCATTCGAATCAACTTTTTTATGTTGGTCACCGTGGGAGGTTTTTACAGGCGAAACATGCTTAGGGTCATAATTAGTTAGTTCTACGTGGCTAGACAATAGAGAATTGCTCGTTGTAGTAGAATTGTTGGGGGAGATCTCATTTGGTTTTGGATTGGGAATTTTTATACAAATTAATTCTCTCAGGGAGTCATTCGTCGCCTTGGTGGCTTCAGGATTACATTCAAGTGAAGCATTGATAACGTTTATTTCATTAACCTCACGAGTTCGCTCTTTAATTATTTGTACATCTGGATCATGAATAAGGTCATAATTAATTTGTTCTTCTAGGCTAGGCAAGCACTGAGTATCTCCCATTGCAGGGACATTGCTGGGGGGAAACTCGTTTGGTGTTGAATTGGATATTATGGTATTAATCAATTGTCTCAGAGTCATTAGTCGCCTCGGTGGTTTTAAGTTTACATTCAAGTGAAGCAATGATATCGTTCATTTCACTAACCTCACGGGTTCGTCCTTAAATTATAAGGGACAAATCAGCTTGCAGAACTAGTATTGTTCGATGCTGGATTAATATAAACGAGTATGTTTATGACATTCAATATATATTTCATAATTTCCAGTCTTAAATGCGTCTGACCGTGTAGCTCAGTATAGGTAGAGCGTCGATCTAGTAATTCGAAGGTCGCGGGTTCGAGACCCAGCCGCGGCAGACAACATCTTTCTGCTTGCGCTGGGTAGGGAAATTATATAATACACACTCTAGAACATTTTCATCTTAAGCTTCAAGGCGCTCATATTTTTCTCTCTCACTAGAAAGCTCGGTTTTCAGCCGGTTCACCTGATCGGCTCGGGATTTACTAGCATTAGTCTTAATATCCTTTTGCATAATTGTAATTTCAAGCTTAATCCCTTCTAGGTCGGCAGCTAGCAGCGAACACTGACAATCACAATAGGATCTTTGCGTTGGTTTGTTGTGTAGGGGGTTATTTGTCATTTCCACACATCCGCTAACCAGCGCATCGTTCTTATCTAAGCGGTTTGAACTCTCGAATCCCACTTCAACCACTGAATCCGGTTCTACAATATTGCTAAATGTACAATAAGACATAGACATATTGTTTGGAGTCTTGCTTTCGTCTAATAAGTAGGTAGATTTCGAAAGGCAGTTATTTTGACTTGCTATAGCATGAGCGGCTTCAATCAACATATCCGAAAAAGCAGGACCTGCTTCACCGTGTAGTATAAGGGAGTTTAGTTAACCAGGGTACCAAGTAATAGAGATAACCGGGCCATGACATGAAAACTTTTTAGAGCTATTGCCAGGTGATGTCCAATCACCGCATAATTTGATACCAAATTTGATAAAATTCTTTAAAGAATCAAGACTTCCAAGCCATTTTAATCGTTTACCATCGTAAGATAGGTTGAAACATTCTTTATGTTTAAGAATATCAGCAGAAGTACATTCAATAACACAGTTATTGTCGAAACTTATGGAGGTCAATAGCGAACAAACCTTCCGCCATGTTGATGCTATTAGTTAATTTAAGCAATTTGCTGTCAGTTGATGGTAACAGTACCTTATATAGGAAGTGAATGACGTCCGTAGCGTAGTCAGGGTTTAAAACTGTAATACAACTGACGTAATACAAACAAGACGCATGAAAGAGTTTGTGATGTATAATAAGATGTGTTATGTCGCCTGCAGTTTGCAAAGTATGCAAAAAAACGCGTGTGTAAATATAAACAGAATTTTTGTTGCTTAAAAATACTACAGTATAGCTTAAAAATACTGCATGCTGTTGTATGTATAGTTGTGACGAATTTTACGAATGCATAGAAACTTGATCTATCAATCTCAAACTCATTAATAATTCATGAGCAAATTAGCGAATGAACTCACCCTAATTCGTCACATGATTGAGGTTGGATACCGCAAGGAAACACGCTAAAAATCATATACCATCACTGTTGTTAGATGAAAAACGGTTTTTATCTAATAACTGAGATCCTAATTACAAATTCAAGTCAAAACACAACAATATACTATAATAATATATATAAGCCAATGAAATGTTTTCGTTTGAGATGTTGTGTAAACAACTCGTTTCTCGTGTTTCATCAGGGGACCAAACACTCGAAAACAATAAAACACTCGCGCTTCGCGCTCGTATTTCATACAGTTTTCTCGTGTTTGGATCCCTGATGAAACACTCAAACTCGTTGTTTACATATAACGTCATGAGAGTGTGTTGGCATATCTTGATGAGGATAGACATGTTTCTAGGAGTTCCATGTGAGATAAAATAACAAAATTTGAGGCTCTATAGCGTTGCCCACTTACAGTTAAAGAGTAGAATTTATACTTTATAGCTCAATATGTTTGTATACCATAACCAATAAACATAGTCATCCTGATTCGCGACATTCGTGACAGGGCTATAACACTTCCAAACAACATGCAAGTCATCTATACGAAACAGAATCTTTTACTTCCTATGCGCCAGCCAATTTTTGCGGGAAACCTGGGAAAGACCGCCTGCCATGCAGGCTAGGTGGAAAACTGGCCTGAAGAGTATGCTTGTAAACAGATAAATACAGGACAATTTAACGTAACAAACATCCATGGCCAGTAATACAATAAATTTAAATGCTTTTTTGTTTCTTGCTGTTGTCCTTATATAGATTAACAGGGTCTTTATAGCAATATATATATCCGCATATGCATGTATTTTTAATAAAAAGGCAAAACAATTTAAGCTATATGTATATATCAGGGCGTATTTTTGTGAAAGAGGTAATTAAACGCATTAATAGAAGTTCCTCCTGTTTGATTTTATATACGAACTAAGGTTCTTCGCATGCATTCAGTAATTGCTGCCGCAGCGAGCGAGCCTGAAGCGAGCGAGCCTGAAGCGAGCGAGCAAGGCAGCAGACCTAATCTTTATGTATATGTATTATATATATGCAGATGAAATCTCGATCGTCTCGGCGTATTTCGGCCTACCACAATGCACTGCTTCCTGGCCGGCAGGCTATTCTTGCCTAATAAACAGGCATAAGGCAAACAAGGAATGTGATCATTTTTCCTGATCTTTGGTTTTCTTTAGCGGTAAGCCATAGCTGGCGTAAGTGGTCAAACCTACATTTTGTCGATACGCAGTGGCTCGAGCGTTATACGCGGTGCTTTCGCTATTATACGCAGTGGTTCGAGCATTATACGTGGTGCTTTCGCCATTACACACGCGGTGCGTTTGCCATTATACGGAGTGGTTCGAACATTATACGGGGTGCTTTTAACATAATTTCCATATTCTTTCCAGGCCAAAAAAAAATATGTGGGTTTCCGGTTTCCCGACTTTACCTAGCTTTTGGACGTCGAAATCCTGACCCTAAACTTTTTTATTGGATCATGCAGACGTGCTCGCTTTTATATTCTTAGTACAAAAGCTCATGTCATTTTCCCGACCCCCGCTAGTAACTCCAGACCTTGTGGCCTTCGCTCAAAACGTCGAAATTCTCCTTATATTTTTCAGATAGTCCAGGACACCGGAACAATAAAAAGACAAGGGGGGCAAACGCACACCAAAGGGCACCTCTGTAGACCCCGGTGAAGATATAAACCCACAATTATGTGTTGACTTGCCAATGAAAGCAAACGCACTTAATCACGTGACATTCGAGATCACACCTGATGGTTTTGCCCATGCAAAACGCATCACTGGAAGCGTGATTTATCAGGTAGTATTTTATAACTCAAAGGGCACTTCTGCCCCCCTTGCCCCTCCTAGCAAAAGGGGCAGCTGCTCCTTCTGCTCCCCAGTTACGGCGTCCCTGCAGGTAGTTGCATCCCTATCAATGAAAGCTTGTATCCTAAATTTGGCACTAACTACCCTGGCAAAGCCAGTTCAAGATTATATATTTGAAAAATACGCTGTCAACGACATCGTCAGCTGACAACATTCGTCATTAACATTCGGCAAAACCTGAAATCGTCCCGATTAATCGTTGTGTGTAAACGCATAGGCAGCCCAAAAATGCGTGGTATTTTATTACATATAAAGATACGACACGCTTATGATTTTTCTTTGTGTTTTGCTCCTGAATTATTAATGAGTTTTTTAAATACTGATCATGTGGGGTTGTCTTGTATATATTTTTGTCTTCTTTGATAAACTAGTTACTATGTAATGTCGGACTTAAATTTTAATATAGTTACATCTTGCATTGTGCATTTTCATTCAAACTGATGAAGTATATCATGCATATATTTGCACCAACTGAGTGTGTTTTAAGTACTATTTAAAGCACGCATAGGAGTGTTTTATCAGATATAAAACGCGAGGCGCAGCCGAGCGTTTTATATCTGATAAAACACGACTACAAGTGCTTTAAATGGCTTAAAAAACTATCCATCTTCTGACGAGTACATTGGCGAAGTAATTTTTAAAATAAACTTTGTCTAAACCGAGAAAATCAAAGCTAAAGTTTATGTAAATTAACATGATTTTTTTATCACATATAAAGATACGAAACGCTTATGATTTTTCTTTGTGTTTTGCTCCTGAATTATTAATGAGTTTTTTAAATACTGATCATGGTGCGTTTAACCTCATGAAGTATATGTATCATATTTAGTGGGGCAGAGTTTTGTGTGTTTTAATTATCAATTCGTACGTATGTATATAAACCGTGTTTCTTAAAAACGAAGCAAACTCATGAAGACATATCATATTTAAATGCACGGACTGGTGTTTTAAATATCAATGCGTATAGCCTATATATAATGCGTATATATAAACCGTGTTTCTTAAAAACGAAGCAAACTCATGGAGACATATCGTATATTTAAATGCATGAACTGCTGTGTTTTAAATATCAATCAAATGCGTATATATAAACCATGTTTCTTAAAAACGAAGCAAACTCATGTATAGACATACAATATTTAAACGCAAGGTCTGGTGTTTTAAATGTCAGTGCGTTTATATAAAGCGTCAAAAGCGTGTTTCTTAAAAACAAAGCAAACTCATAAAATCTTATCCAGGCGTTATAGTAAGCCTGTACTCGTCAATTAAGATAAGATTATGTTTCATCTCTTCATGATTCTTTTGACACTGCAGATGACAGATTGTGAATCCTATCACCGCGGCATACCGTCGGTGAACAACATGATCTCCTACTCAAATTAAGGTTATATCTTAATTGTTAAAAAAGGCTCAAAATAAGATATAGCCTTAATTTGTGTTGAAACTAACGCACGCTGACAGGCACAATAAGCGTATCGCTGACGCATTATGAACATTTTACTATTTCTACATATTTTGCTGTCAAGCGTCATGTTTGCTTCATGTTTATGTATGTTCTAGGCAGAAAATCAGTGAAATTTATTCATGAATACAATTACAGAAGAAGAGAGATCGGGTACGAGTTTGTGTATGTTGATATTGTTGCAGAATCAGTGTTGCTGTAAACGTATTCAGGCTTTTCAGAGCGTTATAATATATCGAGTCATCGACTGTCAACAAATATTTAATTTTTTGGTTTACATTTTCCTGCATTAATATCGAAGCTTCAATAAATAGTTTCTTGCAATATTCTGCCTAATCTTAATAGTTGGCATGTATACATTAAGTACGTTGTTTGTTTTTGGTCTTTAGAAGAACCGAAATCGAAGGGAAAACGAAAACAGGAGCTACGTACGTCGACTGACAATATTCTTCTCGAGCAGCCAAATCGTGTTAGTGAACTGCTAACCAATACTTTGAAAGAAGCAGAAGAATTGTTTCCTAACAAAAAGAAAAGGGTTAAAAGGAGAAAGGCGAAAAAGGACGAACACTTTGTGACCAATGGAACAACGAAGGACGTCGAGTGTACAATCACAACAGAAAAAGTAAATAATTTGTATGCAAAAGGTTTTCACTACAGCCTGAATCATCTAAGAGGAATCAGCAATTAAGTGATGATTCCTCTTGGCTCTTGCTGATTCCTCTTGGGTGAAACAGGCTGTAGTAGGAATCTTTTGGAGGTAACAAAACAACCCTAAACTCTCTATTAATTAGCCCCCCTCTCAAATAAGCCCACCCCTCCTATTAAGTGCTCCCCCCTTTTCACACAAAAACACATGTCTTTTGATTAGATTTGTTGATTTTCTTACACCACTTAGTTTTTATAAACAAAATTATTTATTTACGGTCACAGATAAATAAATATAATTCATGTAACGAATATACATGACATAAATTGTTTACAGTTGAATTTACTTTAATTTAAGAAACACAAGCAAGAAATAGAAGTGGAGAATCCAGTGTTAATACCAGACAAAGTGCTGATATAGAACATTTATTACCCAATGAGAATGATGACTTATTTGAATTTGACGAAGGCATAAGTTATGAAGGTATACATCTACATTGTAGTATGTACTATTGGAGTTGGGGTTAGGCCAAGTAAAAAAATAACTTGGTTAGCATCCCCGCCCGACCAGTGAAAAAGCTCCCGACCCAATTTTTAAAAAGTTTAAATTATTTTATATAAATACCTCAGAAATCTTCTATTCCGAAAGAATTTGTCCACTTTTATAAATAAACCAACAAATATAACAGCCAGCATTACATTTGTCAGCAGTTGACTAGCTGGGGTGTGCCCAGCTAGTCAACCGTTGATTGCTAGAATCCGCGATATATTAAATATGCTCATATTTTATATCCCTGGGAATGAGGCTGATTTTATATAAGTGCAAATAAATTTTTTTTTAAAAAAAACCTTCCTCCGACCCTAAAAATTAGGAAAAAAGGGTGCTACATATGAAGTTATTTTTTACGGATGACCCTTGGTACAGTAGATCAGTTTTAGAAAGTTCTCATAGAATATATCTAATATACCTTTATATAAAAATTATTGCTGTATTAGGACTGTTCGGTATACCGATATACCGAAAATATCGGTATTATATCAGTATCAGTATATCGATACCAGACATTCAACCATACCGATATACCAAAATTTTGGATATACTGGAATTTTTCGGTATACCGTGTTAAATTTACCAACTATATGGCGAAACCATAACCTTTATTTTACTACTGAATGGCAATTCAAAAGAACTTTCTACTGCAATGATTTAGAATTTCCACTTCAGTGCGATTTTACACTGAGTATGTGCATGTCGTTCAAAACATGTTCGAAACAGCTTCGAAATTATTGTTTTGAATTCCCTTTTAGATAGAATTACTCAAAATTTCCTTCAAACTTCCATTAAAGAATTTTCCTTTATAATTATCAAAGGAAAACCGATGTACCGATAATATAGGGTATAATTTTTTCGGTATACCGATACTGGAAATTTCTCATACCGAACATTCCTATGCTGTATCAGGTTATTGTTATTAATAGTTTTTACTTGTTATGACATAGATGAACTAACCAGTGTTCTTGTGGATTGTGAGAATCTCTGCAATGACTTATCTACTGATGATACTGTCAAAAAATCGCAGTGGGAGAAAAGATCATTAAACAATGAAGCCAATTGGGCGAATTGCAGAGAAGAACTTTTTTCTGCTGTTCTTGGTTCACTGGTTGTTCCTGACGATAAGGTTGTTTGTATGCTCTGCCAAAAAGAATGTGCACTTATCAAGTGTGGTGAATGCAAGCTCCAGTATCTTTGCCCTGGATGTGATGATGTAGTGCATACAGATAACCCTTTGCATGACAGAGAATATTGGTCCAAGAGATTTTTCCAGTACCTGCAACCAACACAAGGTGTTTCATATGAAGGAAAACTTATTTATAAAGGTATAAATAATTAATAATTGTGTCAGGCAGTTCATTATACTGTATATGCTGCATATGGTGTATTATATATGGTGCATAATTTTTCTGTATAATTATGTATTCTAGAGAAAAAATATGGGGTATTGTATAGTACAGGCATGAAATTAAAGATTTTCAGTTCATTCAAGAAGGATATTGGGATTTTAAACCTGGTATCCAATGCATATCAAAGCCAGTCAGTCAAATCAGATAAAATGGTGGAATTTTGCAAACTGTCACACAAATGCTACCATTATATTTGGGAATTATCCTTTTAGAATACTGGTCTCATTATATTTAATATCAAAATGTAAAACCTAGACCATATACTGTACTAACTGCAATTAAATTTCAAGTGTTGAATAGTAACTACAGTAGATAGAGTTTGAATCACAAATAGAAATATAATCCACTCATTCAGTTACTGCAATTTTGTCCTAATGTTAGGTTTAGGAATGTTCATCAGTCAGGCTTGTATTTATTTATTTATTTAACTCTGCCAACTAGGGCAGGGTCACCATAACAGCATTTACATAACACAAATTACTGTGAGCCCTTTTTATCTAACCCGCCCTGTCAACTTTCCATGTGGGAGGAAACCCGCCCTGTCAACTTTCCATGTGGGAGGAAACCCGCCCTGTCAACTTTCCATGTGGGAGGAAACCCGCCCTGTCAACTTTCCATGTGGGAGGAAACCCGCCCTGTCAACTTTCCATGTGGGAGGAAACCCGCCCTGTCAACTTTCCATGTGGGAGGAAACCGGAGTACCGGGAGAAAACCTTTGGCAGAGCATTGACTTTTTACTCTTTTCACACGAGGACTGGGTTTGAGTTGCACTGAGAAAGTTCTCACTGAGATTTGAACCTGCGACCTTGAAAGGCAAGTGCGCTTACCTAATCACTTCACCGTCAAAGCCCCAGGTAAACCGTCTAGATACGAGAATGTTGTAACACTGCATGTCCAGATACGAGGTTGCACCATGTACATGCATTTCCATCAAATTGTTTTCATCAATTGATTATATATAGTATATACCATATATTTTCCAGGTATACTGTACTAATGTAACACAAATGTGAACATTTGTTGGTATATACAGTAGCTTGTGGCCAGTCTGTCTTGATGTTTGGTATTATTCAGTAAATAAATACAGTAATTTTAGAAATTAATGATACTGTATTTGGTGAGGAAATTGAACTTGATTAATTAAAGGTTATTGTATGATTACATGTATCCACTGTAAATCCTATATTTGATACAAGTCATGTACATGTCAGCTTTTGTTGTTTTTTTCTAGAGCGTTGTTGTCCATTCATGTTTCAAGACCGTTGCAAATCCTGTGGAAATGCAGCCTTGAAGCAATGTATTTCAGATGAGATGGTCATGTTAATCACTATGAAAGGTACTTACAGTATTATTTACACACTATTCACATATACTTTTCTTATTGCATGTGACTTGTGAAAACATGTTACATGTACTATTAATATAGTTATGTACAGTTATAGTTGGTGTTATAATTTTTTTAAATACTGTACAGTACATATACATGTATTTGAAAAAATGATTACAGGTAATGTGCCATTGTTAGGAAGAAAGCACATCAATCATAATTATGATGTTAAGTGGCTCATGCAATCATCTTGCTATGTATCACTTCTTAGGGCGCTATGATCTTCACTGGTTTGGCTTACTGTGTGACGAATGTGGGATAATCCAGTCACCAATGTCCATGAAGAACATTTTGAGAAATGGCTTTTGGCCTGGTTCGCCTTGTAATATCAATTACTTATTTGACCAGGAAGTATTTCGGGTGTGGGAGGCCTTTCGCATGCGGATGCCAGGATCATCTGAATCTGCTTTTATCAAAGCTTTGGAGGATATATCATTGCTCAGGGGAAGGGTAATTTTCATAATCTTAGTACAGTATTTGTTTTGGTTTGCGGAAAACATTACATTAATATATGATACAGTATGAGCTTACAGATTAAAAGCTTTGCAATTATAATGATATATATATAATGTTTCTACAAACCAAAACAACACAAATATAACTAAAATTATCAACATGCAAAACTACAAAGAAGTTATGACTACATCGTTTTGTTAGCCAGTCTGGCTAACAAAAAGATGTAGTCATAAGGCAGTATTTGACTGGAAACTTCTCTCAGACTGACTCTCACAATGCAATTTTGGCCAATTAGTTTATTTATTTAAATAGTACTAATAGTATTATTACGTCTTGAATGGTTCTTTTTATTTTGGTTTTAATGTTCATCTTGTTAGAATGGTACAATAAACCCAACAACATTTAGAAAAGCTGTATCTGAATGGCGATACTGCCAACATGAGATAGATAAGCTGCAAGGTATCTGTTGGTTGGATTGTCCTCCATGTCATGTTTCACAACATTCGGCCCATGTAGATGGTAACCAGAAACTATACAGATTTAAGAATGTCCCAAGGTATTGTGCAGTAAAGCTACCGTAAATTATTTTTACTGCAGGTGCAATTCAGTACAATACGAGTTTTTTGTAAACCCTGTCAATAATAAATTAATAATGTCCATTTACAATTTAGGTTAATTTGCAGATGCATGTATGTGTAGTGTATCATCGTCATTGCCTACATGTACATGAATCTTCATGATGTCTTCTATTAGTTAACGTAGTGAGTGGTACTCTGCATAGGCGTCGGAAGATCGATAAGTGGGGGGGGACCATATTCATATGTTCGTGTTCACAGACCTTAAAAACAATCGATTTCAAAAGAAATTAATAATGCAGAACACCAATATATGAATATGGTACTCCCCCCCCCCCACACTTATCGTTCTATCGACGCCTATGGTACTCTGTGAGAGATATTTCCCACTCTACAGTTTTGTAATTATTGTTTTGTTTTTGGTAGAGGTAACAGATCATCGTACTATGAAGATCTTTTTATTAAACCCAATGCGGAGGTGGACAAACAGATTATTGAAGTATATCAACTTGGAACTAAAGAGGTACGGTACAAGTACACTAACATACAAAATATGAGATGGAGTTTAAAAGGTAACGATAACGACAACACCGACGAAGAGAAGATGGTGGAGACTATGTACAATAGATAATGCGCGATTGTATAGAAGTATAATATGAAGATAATACATAAAACTTTTCGATTGTGCATAATGCATAGTATACTGATGTGTATTAATTTCTACAATAGGTTAATAGCAACGTTTGTGGTGACTCACACTGGAAAGCAGCCAAGGCAACCAGCAAGAGCAAAAAAAAGCAAGACGAAACTGGTCTGGAAATTGCATGTTGCCGTCACAGTATTGCCCAGGCAGCAGTAAACATGTTTCGTGGTGAGATATATGGGTATCCTCATTACTTGCATACACGTGTTCTTCTCCCCAAGCAAGTTAAATTCCTGTGGGAGGATGTCATTTGCCTATATTGGCCATGGGCAGTTTCAAACACACCAGAAGCGTATGTGGATGCTCTTGACATGGTGCCGGCGCTGTCTGTCATGCATGGAAAATCTCACTCCTGGAATTGTCAGGTACTGTTTATAATACAATATATAATAGAAATCGTACTCAGTGAAAAAATAATTAATTATATTGTTTTCAAAATGTTTACCGACATTTGGTTTGAATATTTCACTTATCAGTTCAATTCTGAGTCTTGTTTTCAGAAGTAACTTTTATATGCCTGAATGTGTACAGTACTGCAAAACTTTAGAAAATGAAATTTCGGAAGAAGATTTGTATATAAATAAATTTGAAAATTTTTTTTCGTGGAATTGGCGGGGGAAGGGGGGGGATTGGGGGACATTGACAACGACTCGATGCTTTTGTATTTAGGATAACAATGTTTAAATAAACAATATTTTCTAACTTTGTAGTTTACCTGGGGTGGAAGGTGGCAACAAGGGGCTGCAAATGGTCCTGGTGAAGAAGCTGAGCAGGTTAACAGCTACATCTCCCGCCTGGGTTCGACAACAAAAAGAATGTCAGCTGCTGGTAAATATATGTCGATTACAATATGTGCTGATATATTCGGCAGTATAAAAACTTTACAATGCGAGACAACTAGATTTTTAATACAGTAATAGGCTTGTTTCAAACGTCGAATTTGTCCTATCAATTCACTCATATTTCTAGGTCAACTGAAACCTGCGGGAAAAACTCGTTAAGTTTTTCATTTTAAATGTGTGGAACTAAAACTCGTTCTAGTTTATTAGCAGATTTTATATTTGGCCGACCCCAAGTATATACTGTAAGTACATAACGCGGTACAAAACGTCAAACGTGTCATTTATTGCATTCAACTCATGCTGAATTCCACGTTTGAAACAGGCTTTGTAATTATCATTACTGCATGGCCAATAGCATTTTCCATACAGAAATTTTATGTAAATAAATATAGCAGTCAAGTTTTCTTGCAAACAACTATATATTATATAGGTCGTGAGGAAGCTCTCACTGAACATGTAATGGGGTGGAACAAGAGGAAAATATGCAATCTACCGAAGTATTTAGCAATACGTTATGCTAAGGTATTTGTAAACTTTTTGTCTTATTAAATATTGTTCCTTTACTTTAAGCGAATGCAATATTGTAGTTTTAAACTGTGTATTTAATCACATTAAAATCTTAATTATGCTATATCCTTTTTTCAATTTTTAAAGACTATCAAGATATTAGACGCCAAGAGTAAGGAATTTGAGACAGTCTGTAATGATTTCAGCTTGGAAGGAACAAGTGATGAAATGATGTTGGAATGGAAACGCGAGGTTCAAGATTTTGCAAAGGGTATATATTTATTATTAAGTTTTGCTTTGAAATAAGTAAGTTGCAAATATTACAACACACTTTGATTTGTGGGAATAATGGTTTGTTTATATTGTTTAGAAAATAAAGAGAAACCCGCTGGTGAAATCGGGGAATATGAAAAGTATTTCCTACTACATCATCAAGTTAATGACGCAACCTTACTTGAGGCTTTTTCATCTGCTAGTGATGAACAGACACGTAATTTAATCGGTTATACGCAAATGCACTGTCTTGTGAACACGAAAAGGAAAAACCTGGAGAAAATGAAGGAAGAGTTGCAAGAAATCGAGGTTTCTCTAATGGAACGTGAGGAAGGTTCAACTGAACATTTCTTGTCGATCGGAAAGCAACGGCTGGCAATTAGTACCATGCAAAACTTGCAAAGAAAAGCTGAAATGACTTACTTTTCTTTACAGAAGAGGACAGCCGATATATCTAAGTTAGCTGGTACGTTTTATGGTGATGAAATGTGGTTGTGAATAGTTGTTAAACATTTGATTATCAAGTACAGTAGATTTGGTCTCTTATTTCGGTTAATTGTATTATTGTAATGCGGTGTATACAAGCTATTAACCCGATATATAAATATGCTGTCTTCCATCAAATTACTATTTTTCAGATCGAGCAAAAATGAGGTCTAGCATGCGGAAGAAAATGAGTAAGGAGAAAGAAGATCTGAGGAAAATTGTTGAAGAGATCAATTCGTATTCAGAATTATGCAATGTCGAAAAGATATCTGTAGAAGACATCAATGAAGGAATATTTCCTTGGTCGCAGACCAGCACAACATCCAGTGAGATTATTTTCACTGTACATTGTTCACTGTAATTAATATAGTATTTGTTGTAATAATACCACAGTGAATGTACGTGATTGGTGACAGTTCGAAATATCAAACAGGCATGCGTTACAGTAAATGCCACGACAACTATACGTACATGTATACGAGTAAAGAAACAGCTATACTTACAAACTGTACCATTTTTACTGCAATGCAACAGTACACGTGAAATAAATGTACTGTATCAGTACATGTATGTATGAAAGAATAAACATTTACATCAATTTTCCCAATTATGTTCAGTTATATACAATGTCAAAGGCTTGCGTGAAAGTATTTATTGCATAAGTCGTTGCACTATATGACGTTCGACCCCATGATTTTAGTAATCACTTGCATCCCTTTATTGCTTTAATATTTACTTTTTTATGTTCGTTATAGGTAACGTCCCAATCAGAGTAAAGGCAGCAGTCGTTGACAAGTTCGTTGGAATTCAGCGTGTCAAAGAGGAAAAGGTTTTGCTATTAAAGGAGATGACTAATTTTATGACCTTCTACAGAGATGATGTTTTACCAAAACTTCGCGAACAGGATTCTCAAATAAGAGATACGATTGGTACGGTGTAGTTTTGGATTTTGACTATACTGTCCACGCGGCCGACAAATAGACCAAAATGTTAAACTATGGTACACTTATTTCTGTTTAAACATTGTAATATTTTACAGATGCGATTGTCAACCCACTCGAACATGAAATGGAACAGGTAACAAACATACATACATAACACACAGGTTGTCACTATAGCCTTTTTCATCCATATTTCAAAAACTGGACTGTCATGGGTATTTAAATAGTGCGTGTACATTATTCCTTTCGTTCATAATTCATGAGCAAAACACAAAGGAAATCGCCTTCGTATCGTTGTCTTTCTACTATGGTAATAAACGTCCATAACGTTTAATTTGTCTTCAAATACAAGTCGGTTCGAAAATTTAAAAATAATCTCGAAAGCTGTGTACTATACTGGCCTATAAAACACTTCAAAGTATGTGAAAAAGTGCCTCATCTTTTAACACACTTTTCGGTGTTTCGTACGCCGGTAATATACGTTTTCTCATAAATGTAATTTACTAATTATGAAGATTTTCCCAGGAATTTGCGCGTGGCACCTCTATACCAAAGTATGAAGTGAAAACAAGCTCGATTCCAACACTAAAGGGAAAGCTCTCTGTAACGAGTGCTGGAAGATGGTTTGCTAAACTGCAAATGAAGAAGGGAGTCGAACACTTCCGACATTGTGGCGATGAAGATTTTGACCTCGGTTTGGAAGAAGAGGAAGTTATGGAAGACGAATTTGGAGACGATGAGTCGTCATCTGGAGAGGAGGAAAGCGACACGGAAGAAGATGCAAACGAAGACGTATCCAACCTATTTGATTTGAGTGAAATATTGATATGAAGGTCGAGTCGAATACAATATAATCAATGACAGTGAAGCTTGTGGGACATATTTGCAAGATAATTACGCTTGTTGAAACTTTTTAGTATGCTGTAGAAGGCTGTTATTTATTACTCTCTACTGCGGAACATTAAAATATTAGTCTATTAAAGTTAACTCTCTGACAATTTAATGATCTTATATAGCTATCTGCATCTCACTATAGGACACAATCATTACATTAAATTTGAGGGATCTTTGAGAACGCGTTTTTACAATCTCTAACTTAATTAAGCAGTGCATATAACGCGTTATATGTTATATCGTAATGGTATGTTTATTTAGTTCATCCAGACAAGACTGATGGTCATGTACTTTTTAAATTAATGGTACATCGTGGGTTCGTCTCCCGCGAGTCTTTGTTCATTTAAATTTTGGGAAAATACTAATTAATGAAGATCCCTGCGGATATATGCGAATATAAGATAGATGTAATATTTTTTTTCGATTGTTACTATAAACTTTCCAAACTATTGTTATGTACTGTTTAGTAATTAACGAGCAGGAGTGTTTACTAGGTTTAAAACACGACCGTCGACCGCGTAGCGCGAGTGGTTCTAGACCTAATAAAATACCTAGTATTGCAAGTTTATAACACGGCTTTAAACGCAACTCATATCGTATTTTTAAAATAAGGAATACTAAATAGCTGAAGGTTTTATGATAAATAATACTAATGAGGAGTGTTTCATCAGTTAATAAACTAATAAAGTCAATGCACGTGGCATCAGTGATATTAATTATTAATGAGTGTTCGAATAATTGACGAAACACTGTATGTTGATAAAGACACGCACGTTTTTTTTTCAGACATGAATTTCCAAAATTCTTTTTTACATGCTAATGATTTCGATCGTTTTTGTGTAGTATGCGCTTTATATCGATTTAATTAACCTCGATATCGATTTATTTAACCTTGTGTTCTCAACGATATATCCAACACGAGTAGGTCTTCCTCTCATTTGTAAATACAGAAAACAGGGTTTATTTTAACGTGCATTTCTACACAAAATGTGCAGTTCTAAACCCATTTGTGCAGTTCTTAAAACATGAATGTGCATGGTCACCAAACTAACAAAAATAGCCTTAATTAAAACAGTCTCCTCATTTACTCGTTACCCTTGTGGATGCTCCAGAAAATTCCAGAATTGCTGTCATTAATTGAGCATCAAAAATATAAACGTTTTCTGGGGGAGGACTCCAGACCCTCCTATTTTCCTCACAAATCACTTACGTGTTGGCGTAATGGAATAAATTGTAAAAATGGTAAAATTGGGGCGAGCGAAGCTCCCCAAAAGAGATTAGAGTTGGAGAACCTAATATTCGTTGCTGCCTCAAATGCAAATTTAAGGTTGTTATATATTGAATATCCATGATTCCCACTTGTTTTGAAACAGTTTTTGTGAGTGGTTGGGTAAACAAATCTTTGCCAGAGCTAAGAGCCTCTATAGATTGAAATTATTTTGGGGAACACCCCCTAGCTCCCGCACCCAAAATCGAGTTTGTCTGGCCTTTCTCCAATTCTCCCACCCAACCACACCATTATTCTGTCACCTATATGCAGATAAAAAATCCTTCGACCCCCCCCCCCGGCCAAACACCTGTTGCCTTCGTAACATCCCTAAATGTGCAGTTCTAAATTTTTCTTAAAATAAAACCCTGATAAAAAAGCTTACCAGGTTGAAAATACGAAGCTTTAATTATCTAAAAATCTGTCATTCCTTCCCTGACCATATTATAGCTATATAAGCGAATTGCTCAAAATCAACTATGTTAACAAAATCTTCGGGTTTTAACTCTTCGATATGGATGTTGAAATTAAAATATGTTATTAGGCTAGTTAAGATAAACAAAATTCCAAAATTTCAAAACAGATTATCAATAGCGGCTACTTCATCTAAAAATTGGTCATTCATTCTCCTGGCCATACTATAGGCTATATATATATAAGGGAATTGCCCCAAAATCAACCATGTTAACAAAATCTTCGGGTTTTAATCTTCGACGTTGAAATTAAAATATGTTATTAGGCTAGGGAAGATAAACAAAATTCCAAAATTTCAAAACAGACTGTCAATAGCGGCCACTTCATCTAAAAATTGGTCATTCATTCTCCTGGCCATACTATAGGTTATATAAGCCGAATTGCCCAAAATCAACCATGTTAACAAAATCTTCGGGTTTTAATCTTCGACGTTGAAATTAAAATATGTTATTAGGCTAGGGAAGATAAACAAAATTCCAAAATTTCAAAACAGACTGTCAATGGCGGCCACTTCATCTAAAAATTGGTCATTCATCCTCCTGGCCATACTATAGGCTATATAAGGGAATTGCCCAAAATCAACCATGTTAACAAAATCTTCGGGTTTTAATCTCCGACGTTGAAATTAAAATATGTTATTAGGCTAGGGAAGATAAACAAAATTCCAAAATTTCAAAACAGACTGTCAATAGCGGCCACTTCATCTAAAAATTGGTCATTCATTCTCTTGGCCATACTATAGGCTATATAAGGGAATTGCCCAAAATCAACCATGTTAACAAAATCTTCGGGTTTTAATCTTCGACTTTGAAATTAAAATATGTTATTAGGCTGGGAAAGATAAACAAAATTCCAAAATAGACTGTCAATAGCGGCCACTTCATCTAAAAATTGATCATTCATTCTCTTGGCCATACTATAGGCTATATATAAGGGAATTGCCCAAAATCAACCATGTTAACAAAATCTTCGGGTTTTAATCTTCGACGTTGAAATTAAAATATGTTGTTAGGCTATGGGAGATAAACAAAATTCCAAAATTTCAAAACAGATTATCAATAGCGGCCATTTCATCTAAAAATTGGTCATTCATTCTCCTGGCCATACTATAGGCTATATAAGGGAATTGCCCAAAATCAACCATGTTAACAAAATCTTCGGGTTTTAATCTTCGACGTTGAAATTAAAATATGTTATTAGGCTAGGGAAGATAAACAAAATTCCAAAATTTCAAAACAGACTGTCAATAACGGCCACTTAATCTAAAAATTGGTCATTCATTCTCCTGGCTATATATAAGGGAATTGCCCAAAATCAACCATGTTAACAAAATCTTCGGGTTTTAATCTTCGACGTTGAAATTAAAATATGTTGTTAGGCTAGGGAAGATAAACAAAATTCCAAAATTTCAAAACAGACTGTCAATAGCGGCCACTTTCATCTAAAAATTGGTCATTCATTCTCTTGGCCATACTATAGGCTATATAAGGGAATTGCCCAAAATCAACCATGTTAACAAAATCTTCGGGTTTTAATCTTCGATGTCGAAATTAAAATATAGTATTCGACTACAAGAGATAAACGAAATTCAAAAATTTTAAAACAAAATACTATTAAGTCTCCCCACAGAATGTAAAAACTGCAGGGAATTGAATCCATTATTAAAGTACAAGGGCTTGGCAACGGGTGGCCATCTCGACTGCGCGTTGATAAACCATAACTTATGCGAGTCGGGATGAAACTAATTTATAAGCTGATTCATAATATCTAGCCGAGGCCAGCTTGTGACATCAATGTAATTTAGTTTGAAAAAATTGTTAAATGCAAATTAACATTATATAAATCTTTTTTGCATGATTTTTAGATAAATTAAGGTGGCTCCCTACTGTTTTTTGAAACTGAAAACAATGGAAGCTGCATTTTTTAACATTGTTACTTCTTGAAAAGCAAATAGTATCCGAGTTATAGAAAATGCTTTAAAGGTGATCTACAGTCCGATCTGCGCATGTGCACAAATGAGCCCACTTTTTATGATACAAACAGTTTAACTATGTTTTGAGTTCTTGAAAAGCCCGATTGTTGTTTCTTGATAATTTATTATACTCTAGAAGCTTGAAAATATAAATAGTTGTCGAATAAAGCTCTATGTTTTGGACACAAAAATGTAAACAAAGGCTTTGTTTACATACGGCTGTAGATCACCTTTAACTAGTGTAAAATTTTAACCAAAAATGTCACTGCCGTTTCCATGGAAACCATGACGTTTCAACATCGCCGATTTTGTAAACGTCTTCGATTAGTGAAAACCATTACCTACTTAACTTTCTAAAAATATCGCTATAATGTAAATATTTAAATTTTAATGAAACGTACGCGTGTTTTTATTCGATTGAAAAATTTCAACATCTTACCTTTGTTCATAAATTCCTCCCTAAATGGTAAAGTTACCACTTGCCAAAAAACCTGTATGGAGCCACCTTAAAACGATTCAGCAGTTGAGATTCGCGATTCGGCATGTATCGGACGGTTTTCATTGAAATGTACAATGACCAATATTCAATAATTAGTTTTTACTAATCAAATTATGTCACAACCCTTAATTATCGGATTGCTTAATTTGGTAAAGCAAAGTTTTTGGACAATGACCATATATTGGTATTCGGCATTCACATACATTAGGCTACAAGTTCATTAACATGCAACTGCTGTCTTACCCCGCATATTAACCAGTAAGGTTTAGATTTGACTCATTATCATCAAAGGACCATCAACAAATCAGATACGTTTAGTCTACCTGATTAACCAGTCACATGCATATACGGTTAATTGTCAGTGAAAAATAAGAGTATAGTGAAAGTCAAATGTAAACCTCACTATACTAGCGCACATCGGATAAAGGCACATGAGGATATATATTCGAGAATAAGCGTACAAACGTGACAGCGTTTATGTAGATTGACATATATATGTACACTTTCCGTTTTCCCAATACCAACAAAAAATCTTGAATTTCCCTTATAGGCGCATGCCTAATAGACCGTGGCAGATAAACATAATAATTATCTATTCAATAGAGTGTGAATTATTACAGTCGATTTCACGAAACTTTGACCACAAATGTTCCGAACTTCGTTGCGAAGTTCGCAAGTTCGTTGCGAAGTTCGGAAGCTCATATTGGAATTCACAAGCCAATTTGTAAACAAAGTCCCTGATTGGTCCGTGAAGTAAAAGAAGCCAATCAAATGCGTAGTTTACGAACTGGTTTGTGAATCTCATTATGAACTTTTGAACTTCGCAACAATCTTGTGAACTTCGCAACGAAGTTCGGAAAATTTGTGGACAAAGTTTCGTGAAATCGACTGTAATATATACAATTTATTAACAATAACATAACATATACATTCTTTATACAACATATAGATATAATTAAAAAAAAACACAATATATTAATAACAATATATATTCTATTAACTATATTGTTGAACTGAGACGAGCTGAGGCGCTCAACAAGCAAGCAATGCGACAACTAAAACATTTATTTTGTGCCATGACACAATATTATAATATATATATTTTCCCAGACTTTGTTTAATCATTCACCAAAAGCAGATAGAAAAAGCAAACAAACTGTAACCATGGATAATAAAATACATTATTTTACAATTCATGTCGTAACCTAGAAAGGCATAATTAAATAGTATATACTCGCAATTTATGCTGCAACCAGTGCTGTCAGTTTATTTTAAATCGCGAAAAATTACATAGTAGCTTTGCATATAAATTTGATCAAGACTAACCTTCATTTAAAAAACAACATAAATGGCCTATATATAAGTTACGTTGCAAATCTATGTTGTTTCAAAGAATGAGAAGTGTAAAAATTCACAGACTGCATGGCACGCGACCAAAACTTTTGAAAAGGAAATGCAAGTAATAATTCTCATGATTTTCATCTCCCTGCACATAGTATGTCAAGATATTATGCCATAAATCCAAAAAAAATAAAAGACCATTGTTTGATGTTAAACTGTACCTCAACCATACACAAACTTTTGTCTTAAATATTATGATCGTGACGGCACGTTCCATCTCGGCTTATCCCTATGGCCTATTAGTACTTCATTGTACGAAAACACGATGAGTTCAATAATCGTGACCGTGCACAAATTAACATTAACTCAGACAAAAACATAATACATTGACTTCTATTTAGTTTCTAGACATTATATCTTGATAGACTATGCCTTGCACAATGGTAAAGCCAATAACGCAAGCGGCCAAGCATGAAATTCGCCCGTATGTATAGCATCTGTATCATCAAACGTATTGGAGCATATTGGTTTTAAATTGCATGATTCAAGAACCTGTGTAATTTCAACCACAACGTATCCTGGATTCACTATTCTCCCATGAATTTCTGCTCGTTTGTGAACTACTCCCCACGCTTGAACCTGTTTATTATTGTCCACAAGTCCAACTCTCGTTCCTGCAATTAAACATTATGAAGTAAAAACATTATTCAATACATTTAAACATTTTTAATGTACAGTATTTTCATTTCTGCTCGTTTGTGAACTATTCTCCACGCTTTAATCTGTTTATTATTGTCCACAAGTCCAACTCTCGTTCCTGCAATTAAACATTATGAAGTAAAAACATTATTTAATACATTTAAACATTTTTCTAATGTATTTTGCGAGGACCATCGAAGCATCTATTAAGCCAGTTTTCCACTTCAACCGTATCGTAACGTATCGTAGCATTTTCTTTTGTGTCGAAGTCATTAGTTCCACTCTAGTGCTCAGGAAACAAAGAAATACGCCACGTTTCGGGACGATTGAAGTGGAAAACTGGCTTTAACATAATCCTGTACGAGCAACGTAGGTACACCTGAGACACAAAAGTTACGATGATAAGCCCAGAAAAACTGGATAATCGTACTACAACATGAATAAGGTCTTGTTTGCATAATACATCCCAAATACCTTCTTTTATCAACACAATTCTTTTGCCACTGTTGGCGTTTTCGTGTATACCAGAACTCGAAGTATTGGCAGTGGTCGTGCTAGTGCTTATGTTAATGGTCGTGGTTGTTGTGCTAGTGTTACTGTTAGGGTTAGTGCTGGTTGAGCTGGTGCTACTGTTAGGGTCAGTGGTTGTTGAGTTAGTGCTACTGTTAGGGTTAGTGGTTGAGGTAGTGCTACTAATAGGGTTAGGGGTTGTTGTGCTGGCACTACTGTTATTGGTTGTGCTACTGTTAGGGTTAGTGATTGTGTTAGTGATTGTGTTAGCGCTGGTGTTATTGGCTGTGCTACTGTTAGGGTTATTGGTTGTGCTACTGTTAGGGTTAGTGGTTGTGTTAGTGCTGGTGTTATTGGTTGTGCTACTGTTAGGGTTATTGGTTGTGCTACGGTTAGCATTAGTGGTTGTGTTAGTGCTGGTGTTATTGGCTGTGCAACTGTTAGGGTTATTGGTTGTGCTACTGTTAGGGTTAGTGGTTGTGTTAGTGTTATTGGTTGTGCTACTGTTAGGGTTATTGGTTGTGCTACGGTTAGGGTTAGTGGTTGTGTTAGTGCTGGTGTTATTGGTTGTGCTACTGTTAGGATTAGTGGTTGTGCTACTGTTAGGGTTAGTGGTTGTGCTAGTGCTGGTGTTATTGGCTGTGCTACTGTTAGTGCTGGTGCTACTGTTAGGATTAGTGGTTGTGCTACTGTTAGGGTTAGTGGTTGTGCTAGTGCTACTGTTAGTTGTTGTGTGGGTGCTAGTAGTGGTGTTAGTGTCGCGGTTAGAGTCACTATCAGTGTTTGTATTTGACTGTGCCATTTGGTTTAAGATTCCAAGTCGGAAAATATTTTTCAAGCTGGAACCCGTTTTTGACTCTTCACCGAGCAGCTCTTCAACCAATCCTGGTGTACCATATGAACCCCAGGTATGGCCTCTAGCATGCTTCTTATGATATAAGATCACAATATCACATTGATGACTTTCATGTAATATGTCAACCTGTATAAGCAGAAATTATTTTATTTCAAAATGTAATTCAAAATACGAAGTTGTTGTAAAAATGTGACTTGTCAACCTCGTAACAAGAACAACTGGGGAAAGGTAGAGTAAACACATCCTGATAAATTGGCTTAATGGCAGACTGAGGACAACTTGGTCCGGAACAAGATAAGAAAATTTTAATGATTTCTTACACTGCAAAAGTCAAGAAAGATTATTCACCTGAACGGGATTTGAATTCGCACTAGAGAGGTTAAGATACCCCGGTTTCGGTGTACGGGTACCAGTAGTGTCATCTTGTTTTACTGATGTCTGTAATTCGATCATACTTTTTCTGTTTTCTTGCAATTGACAATGACATAATGCGAAAACTGTGCACCTTAATTACGAGTAAAGGTAGAGACATCGACGAAAATATTGCTAACCAAAATCATGCTACCCGTACACGTACACCGAAACCAGGGTATCTTAACCTCTCTACTATTCCCCGCCGCTATTCAGCGATTAAGCGATCGCGTCAGCAGAGATCGGTGACTAGTTTTTATGCGATTTATGCGGAGATATTCTTGGCAGCCAATTAAGCATTTCCTACACCATATCCGCAATTTTTTGGGCTACTGTCATCCCTCGTCAAAAAAATGTACACAATAACACAATGTAACAACATACACTCATTATATAGACACGAGTCCCAATAGTGCAAACCAGTTTGTAAAACTATTGCATATAATCATAGTATAATACCCTTTTTTTCAGCAAATCCCATTGGTTTGAGGGGTTCGTTAGAGATGTTGATGAAACTCTCGGTTTTTTTCTACCACATTCAATTTTTGTGTTGCAATGGGGACACAGCTTGCAAGCATTTCCAACAACGTGGTTACAAGTAGGACACTTCTTCTTTCGTGTTGTGTTCTGCATGTAAACAATACAGTACATAAATTATTATAAACTTTTTCACACTTTCCAGTTGCATTTCTAGTTAATCCGACAAATTCTCATTGCTGTACAGATTCACAATGTATAAGACCTAGTGTATTAAATTATTTCCCAATTCTTATCTATGCTTTACTCGCTGAATGAATAATAAAGTAATGAACCTGTCCAAACAGTACATACAGGACAGGCTGAACTAATATGACTTACTGAAAGTACTGAAAATGCATGCCTAAGCTATAGACACAAGAAAAGTAAATATAATTTCCAACTCACCACTTTAGGGAATGTTGTGGAAGGACTTTCTTCTGTTGGCTCTAAACATATAAATTTACTCTATTACGGCCAACCATGCCTATTTTTTCACCCATCTTGAGGGAGGGGGCTTATTAGAGGGTGGAGGGGCTTAAAAGAGACAGGGGCCTATTTATTAATCCATAAAATGATATGATAACTGCTAATAGGGGGGGGGGGTTTAACAAATTTCTTCATCTAAATATGGGGGGGAGGGAAGCTAGGGCCTTAAAGGGATAGGGGCTTATTGGAAATTGCTAGAGGGTATACAGTACTTCAAAATGAAATTGAAGGTGGTGGCCATTCTGACAAAGTATGAAAATATACTGTAGCGGTAACAAATTAGTTCTGGTTTTTTAAAATTAGGCCTTTGTTTGAATGTGAAGAGGAAATAAAAAGAATAGCATGAAAAATACATGTACCCTTGAAATCATGTCCGCTTCCTTAATCAGGTCAATGTTACAGAAATACAGCAGAAATAAAAAAGTTGTTATTGCCGTATTTCCTGGTTTTCAAATTCATGAAATATGTTAAACCATTGTTTATTCATTTTGGTCATTGTCACTAATGATGTGACAACAAATATTCTTTTATTACGGTAGTGAATGTATGCTATACTGGGATCAATGGTTTGTTGGAGTGAATAATTATGTTAATTTCAAGAATTATACATGTTTCCACTTTTTGGAATTGGCCAATCCTTTAATTAAAAAATAAAAGTATACTGAATTAAATAACAATTCAGGCCTTCTGCAACTCTTATTCTTCCTTCTATTGTTCTTTAGATTTACACGCTGTGATATTTAAAAAATACGCTGTCAACGTCATCTGGCGACATTATCAACTGACAACATTCGTCAATCGTAATTAACATTCGGCAAAACACGCGTATATATATATATATATATATATATATATATATATATATATATATATATATATATATATATATATATATATATATATATATATATATATATATATTACCATGTCTGGATAGTGTATGAACTTTGCTATAAGATTTCTTCAGACATTTCATATATATATATATATATATACATATATACATATATATATATATATATATATATATATATATATATATATATATATATATATATATATAATATAGTCATTCACCGTATATGAGCTGTTCTGCAATCTGATTGGTTGAATTACTCGCCGTATACACAGAGTTGAGACATACAGAGACGTAACTAGTGTACACACTTTTTTTGTGCGCATGCTCGGCAAGTTACTAGATGCATGCATCTGATTGGATGACGACCTGATGACTCACTTTAAACTTGCTGAGCACGCGCAGTTGATCATTTTTCGCCCGGTCGCCTGAAAGAAAGTGGGCACATGATAACGTAATCTTCCGCAGTGTTTACAACGGTCAGTGTATGTCTTATCTACTCTGTGCCGTATATCAGCTCATATACGGCGGAGTAGCGAAAAACAAGATGGCGGTCCAAAAACTACAAGCAGTTTTGCGAATCAGAAAAAAGGAAAATATTCGCTTTGAGAAAGATAATAGTACAAGGAAAAACTCTCAAAAAAATTTGACAGATTAGCAAATACATTTATTTCATAGAAATTAGTTTAAATACAAGTTTTTTTTAAAGAATTAATACCGAAACAACAGCGAAAAAAACATGTTCAGTGAGAATATAAATTGTTCAGAAAAGTTTGCAACGAAAGACAAATGAATTTGCAGTCAACAAGCACTTATAATATATACTACCAAACATCTGTATAATATATCTGAGCTTTTCTATGAGGTATACCGGTTCTAAAACCATTTCTTTCACTTCTTCTTCGAGTTGTAAAACAAAAGTATTTCAAATTTTCAAGGCCAAGCGGTTTTTGGCCGAACAAATGGTCAAGATTGTAACAGAGGATAATTAATTATTGCTTCAGTTAATGTCTACTAGACTATATTATAAAACAATTATACCATTCGCTCTCGGTGCCGTAGCACCTCATATACTGCACCTCGGCTATCAGCTCATATACGACTCGAGCTCATTGTATAATTGTTAATTATATTATATATATATATATATATATATATATATATATATATATATATATATATATATATATATATATATATATACTGTATATATATATATATATATATATATATATATATGTATCAGTTTATTCATGAGCAAAGCTTGCCTTAAATCTGATTGCATTGTTGTGCTCGATAGATAAACCATTCCTTCAAACAGACTTTTGGATCACATTTATTAACCAAACTCCAAAGACTTGCATTCTGAAAAATTTAACTCACACAGTTGTCCAAGATTTGTTGGCTGCTGATCATGCTTGCACTTTCCCAATTTTTTTGGCTCAAGGACAACCTTTTGCTGATGAATTTTAGAAGTGATATTAATAAAACAAACGTATTGTGCATGTTCGTGTTCTTTTAACCATGCAGAATTAAAATATCTGAGAAGTAAACTAAGTGTGTATTTGATAGGCCGTTTTATGCTAATTTTTGGCATTATCAAAAATGCTAGACGTTCAACATTAAAAAATCGATAGCGCATTCAATATTGCACAAGATATTAAATGTTATATATCAAAATCTAAGTTGGCCCTTTCTGAATACAATGAAATTTATTGCAGTGCAATATCCTTTATTGTTTTTACGTTACAGAAAATCAAACAGTGTATAGTTTTTTGGGGACACTAATTTTGGCATACTATTACAGTGCACAGGTATAAAATAAAATTATGTTTTCAGCAAATATATATTATATATTAGTCTTGAGTATTATTTATTTTCTAGTATTATCTTTTGGACCTGGCAAACTGTTGTCGTTTTGACCACATTCCTTGGATAGTACAGTAGAACTGAGTGACTTTGTTATATTGTTATAATTTAATTACAACGTATCAAATTTTTAAGATATCATATATACCATA